TTAAAAAAAAAAAATAATTTTAAGAATAAAATGTATTTTTCCAAGATAAACGAAGAAAATTTTATCTAAAGTGATTGAAATTAAACATTTTTACGTATTTTTAAGTGTAGATTACAAAAAAATATGGCGAGGACGATTGGAATTGACGGTCCTTGTGCTGTCAAGAAAAAACTGATAATTATAAAAATTCATGAATTTTCTCCCAATAACGAAGAAAATTTTATCTAAAGGGCTTCAAATTTATTCATTTTTACGTATTTTTATATGAAGAGGAGAGGGCCCCAAGATGGACATTTGATATAAAATTTTCGTATAAGTAAATATCGCCTCGTGATTTTTTTTTTACTGATTTAGTTTGTTTAGATGAAGCTTTTTATATAAACACGGATCGGAAAGAATTATTTTTCTTCCTGTAATACATATCACGTTGATTTTTCGTTTTAAAAAGTTTTTTAACACTGAAATAAAAACTAGTTTTTATTTCAGTGGGTAAAATTATCTATATTTTTTATTCCGAATAGGTGCATATCGTAATAACCTCATTTATTTATCGTATAATAGTATTCTAAAATGATTCGGTTGACACTATGTTTGTAAATAATTTTTATTTACGCCAAAAAATAAGGTCATTGGTCCTAAGATTAAACAATTAGTAAAATTTAACTAATTTTAAAGCATAAAGTGAGTATATCTTAAATTTTACTAATTGTTAGTAAAAGTTACTAATAATTAGTAAAATTTTACTAATTCATAAGCAAAAAGTGAGTCACTAATTTAAATTAGTAAACATTTTTACTAATTCAGATTTAGAGAGTAAACGAAACAATTATTCAAATAATTTTTTACAACTTTTATTTCATTTTCATTTTATAAGGTGTTTTTTAAAATGCAGATTCATAAAATAAAATAATATTGATTAATTTTATTGTTTTATTTATCAATTAGAGATAAATAATTATTATTTATTGAAAATTACAATTACTATAAAGTCGAGCAAAGTACCATGGCCCAGGTCGGGTCCCGACCAGGATTCCAGATCGGACAAAATGGCGAGTGAAACTTCAAAAGAAGTTTATTTCAGCTGAACATTAATTTACATAAAAATCACAATTATCATTAAAAGAACAAGCACAATATAATAGTAATTAAAAGTAAACAAAGATTTAAAAAGAAAAAAAACATATATCAGTCCTATACTTTTATATTACAGTTTTTAAAAAATGATACAACAAGCCCACAGGCCGCAATATTTGGTTCAGTAATTATTGTTTCTATATTTAGTGGTAATTGAAGCTTAATTTTATTAACTCTTGTATCAGACGCTTTCTTTGGAATTCGAAATTTTCACACTGCCATATAATATGATTTAAATCCTCAGAATCGTAGTCACATTTACAATTTGAATTGTTAACAATACCTATTCGAAAAAGGGAAGCAGCCAAGTGATAGTGATTCGTTCTGCACTGGTTTATAGTAGTAACTATATTTCCCGTTTCAATTTTTTGCGTGAGAACCATGGATTGTGTTTTTCATTATTGTAGGAGTCGAAATATTCTTTACCTTTAAAAAGACCCTGTTCTTTAATTACAGATCTAGTACAATACATAGTTTCCTTTTTAAAACATTCATACAAGTCCGTAAAGGGAATTTGCCCTACGTCCATGGTGTTACCAACTGTAGCTGCCTTAGCCAATCTGTCAACCTCCTCATTTCCCCGGATTCCCATGTGAGATGGGATCCAGTAGAATTTAATAAAGTTTAATTTTTTCTTAATGATTTGTAAGTACTTTTTTTTATCTCTAGAACATATGGGTTAGTCTTAACTGTTGTAATATTAGAATGCAAACTTTGTAATAAACTTAAGGAATCCGTGAAAATCAGGCAGCTACAATTCTCATAAGTCAATACAATATGTCAAAAGCATCATTAAGAGCGATACATTCTGCCGTAAAAGTAGAGGCATCACAATGAACAGACTTTTTTAGAATAATGTTGAGTTCGGGACATATACAAGCTGATCCTACATAATCAGAACCTGTCATTTTACTGCCATCAGTATATATAGAGTAAGTCACGGAATTTTTCACTATATCGTTAATTATAATGTTCGGATCATATATACTTTTTAAATTTTCACCCATATCACTCTTAAAGGGAATTGACGTTATCAGAGTTCTGTAATCATGACTATACATACTAAAATTTTATTGAACCTTTATTTCTTTAATAAAAGATTCAATAATCGATATTAAGTTTAAATTGAGGATTCGTTTTGATTTTATAATTTTCTTTTTATGCTTTTGATAAAATTTTGTCATTATATTGCTAGTAAAGGAGCCGCTATTGGATAGTGCTTTAGTTATGAAACATTTACTCAGAAATTTAACACGATCTTCTATTTGTCGAAGCTTTGATTCTGCCAATAAGACATTCGTGGGAGTACTCAGCCTGTATCCAAGAGCGGCTCTTATAGCAGCATATTAAATTTTTTCAAGCTTCTCCCGAACTTTTTTCCTATTTGGGAAATATACAAATCATCCATAGTCAATAATGGGACGAACATAACTTTTGAATAGATACAGCAGCGTTTCCGGGTCAGATCCCCACCATGTTCCACATAGAAATTTTATAATATTTAAAGAGTTCATACATTTTTGCTGGATATAGTTTACGTGATTTGTAAATAACATTCTATAGTCAAAAATTATACCCAAGAAACGGACTGATTATCGCTATAGATCTAATAGAACAGTAATCGATTTTAATATTTACATTTCCTGGCGCAACTTTTTTATTATTAAAATGCATTAAAACTGTTTTACAGGGAGGAAGTTTCAGTCCAATATATAAGAGATTATTTTTAATAATATTTATAGCCCTTTCTAATATTGCTTTGCCTCTTTTTAGGGAAGCAGACTTTAAGTATACGGCTAAATCGTCAGCAAACTGGGAAATCGATATTGATCTGTGCAAATCTTTTGCAACATCTGCAGTGTACAGAATATACAGTAAGGGACTTAGTACCCCTCCCTGGGGGACTCCTTTAAATGCTAATCTTGGAGCACTTTTAGTGAAATTAGTAAATAGAAATCTTTCATATGTTATAAATTTAACAAACTTTAGTATACTATAAGAAACACCCATAGACCCGAGCTTCAATAGCAATATGTTACTGTCAACATTATCAAATGCCCCCTCCACATCCAAAAAGGCTTCTTCCACTTTCAATATTAAGTTTGTCAAGTTGTCAGTACAAGCTCTACCCTTTGTAAATCCTTGTTGATTATCAGGAATAAGGTTATTAGTCTCCGCCCACCATTGAAGTCTATTCTTATGATAAGAGTTTCAAAAAGTTTACAGAGACAGGAAGATAAGGAATGTGGCCTAAAACTATTGCGATCTTCTTTCTCAACAATGTGAATAAAAGTTTGTTTCCATGCATATGGATAATCGTTTTGAAATATCTAAAAGAATTAATTTATTTTTAATGGGTAATTGTTTTAAAATTTCAAAATCAATTCCGTCAATTCCAGGGGCAGATTTTGTGTCCTTGGATTTTAGAGCGATGTTAAATTCTGTGAAATCAAATAAAGAATCAAGAAATATATTATTTTGACAAGTGGGGAAATAACTAGGTTCAGTTTGTACCTAAGGGGGACTGATTTGATTAAGGGCATTATTTAATTTATCAACTGACTGCAGATTTTTATTAGAAGATGGTGCAACAATTTTAGTCCAACTATTTTTAAAAATTTTACACTTATTCCAAACGTAGATTGGAGATCTTTTAAAAAATATAATAAAGAAACAGAAAATTAGTTTAAAAATCCTTACTTAATATTTTATTTTTATTTTACCCGTTTTTTAATGCATTTTATTAAGGAGTCCATCTTGGGGCCACTTTTTTCAAATCGAAATTCACAACAATTTGAAAAAATTCTTTAAAAAATGTTTGTTTTCAAATTAAAATTTTTTCTTTATGGCCAAAGGATACCTTATTTATTGTACTTTCATACGGTATGCACCATTTTTAAATATCCTAAAACGTTTGGATTCTAGAGCACAAAATCAAAACTATGTCCATCTTGGGGCCCTCTCCCCTAGATTATATAGAAATAATTTAACAAACATTATAAGAAGTTGTTTTAATTAAGTTTTTTTCGAAAAGAAAATTTTTTGAAAAAGTGGACTTTTTTTATAACTTTTTATTTGTTTCTCTGTTCCATTTAATTTTTTAAATTTTTTTTCTCTTGCTTCTATTCTTCCTTTTTTAATTCGATATTCTATTCACATATTTTTTAAAGAAAATGTTTATTTTAATTAAAAAAAAAAAATTGGACAAATGCGAGTTACACTCGCACTGAAATCGAGGGTTTCGTACACGAAGCGAATTTATTTGGTTTAACAACAAATGTTAAAAAAATATAAGTTTTGTATGTCAAATAATGTAAGTGATAAGAAGAGGAACAATTTTCTTAAATGTTTTTAAAAAATTGTTTCGCTTTGTATCACTTATATTATTTGACATACAAAACTTATATTTTTTAAACATTTGTTTTTATACCAAATAAGTTCGCTTCGTGTACGGAATCCTCGATTTCAGGGGTTCATCCGTTTTTTTTTAAATATAATATCAATTTGACAGAATATTTATTTTAATAAATAGTTTTAAAATATATTTTTCAGAAAAATATAAATAAAAATTAAATGTTCTCCACTTGTTGAATATTCAAGGAGATATTGATCTTTTAATAATATGTGGAGATGAATTAAAATAAGAATTTGACTGAAAATAGAATTTGTGAAATGTGGAACAGTTTAGCAGGAAAGTGTTATCAGTATATGAAAAGGGTTGAGGGGAGATGGATCGCGGTTGTGGGGGCGTTGGGAACCATGAATGAGAGAGATGTCCCCACCAGATTTTGTTCCTCTCTTTATCACTCTTTCGTTGATTCTCGGTTTTCTCGTTTCCTCGTGGAGCATCGGTATCCTTCGGGGTTCGCTTTTCTCTTGGTGCTCCATGCATCTTTCGGTCAGTTTCTCGTGGGTTGCCGCGCGCGCATTTTCGAACGCCTCGTAAAGGCTTCGTGTATAGGTTTTATTCGCTCGTGAATATTCGAAGGAAGAGACATCATACAGGACCTTGAAATCTCGACACGCCTGTCCCATTGGATATACCAACGATTTTGCGAAGGGATTTTTGATCTCTCAACATGCGCCGGCGATCTATTCGGTTAGTTTTGCAAAAATTTTTATATTTTTTTCTTAATTGCTATCAACCCTTTCCTCAGAAATCTATTTTTACTATTAAATAATTCGTGTCAAATTTCATTAATTTTTTTTAACTACAAAAAAAATTAAACTTTTTTTTACTTATATTTTATTGCATCTTAATTTTTCAAATTTTTTGTCAAATTATTGTTTTACTGTGAAAATTAATAAATATTTATTATTAATTTAAATCTAATGTCGGAGTTCACAGTAAACATTGAAATTTTTCACATAACGTTTTTTCGCAGAAGTGATTTGCCACAGAGGAAAGAGAACATTAATTGAGAAAAAAGTGGAGTAAAAGTTGCGCTTTTGAAACGAAAAAACGTGCGAAACGTTATTCGCTTTACCTTTCATTCACTCACTTTTCATTACGCACCGTCGCATACGAATGAATGAACTTAAGTCCTTACATATTAATGAGTTGCAAGTTCATTCTTTTCTTATAAGTATTCAGCTCACTTATTTTTGTTTTGAAAAAATATATACAGGCATTTATTTTTGCCTTAGGATTACAAACCGAAATTCATTAATATTAATCATTTTTCTCTCATGATTTTAATTTTAATATGAAACATTTAAGAAGAAACGAAAAAATATGTTTAGTAAAGAAAAATACTAAAAGTTTTTTGAAACTTTATTAACAAGACTTGTAACCTCACTCCCTGAAGTGAATATACATTTTTCCCATGTAAGGGTTGGTAATAAAAAAATTGTTTTTTATTTTTATTAGTTGGAATTTTTTTATAAGTGGAAGACATTAAATTATTGTTGATTGTTTTCTCACAAGAAGACAAGTTCTCAGTTACAGATCATATTGTGCAAGGCCAGCTGATTTATTGAAATTATATCCGTATCAATTTAAATTCTAAAGTATCGTTAAAAAATACGAATAACTAAAAAAGTTTCATTTATACTCAATTCATATTAAGAATTTTATTTAGTTAAAAAATAAATATCATTGTTAATGAAAAAGTTCATCAATAAAAATATATAAAAGTATAACATAATCTTTTAATCTGTGACTATTGTTTGAACTAATAATAATAATTTTAAAAATCAATAATATTTTAATAACCAATAATAATAAAAATAAAAAATAGGGAGAAATTTAAATAGAAGAATTTATTTTTTAATTATTACATTTCTGATTCTTTCACACAAGTGAAACTATTGTGAATAATTTAAATTTCGCGCTATTTTTTTGCAGACCTACTATTTAAGTGGGATGCCCGGCTCAAGAGTCCATTGAAGATGACTTTCTATGTGTTATACACGTTATATTTATTGATAAATGCTTTTTTAAAAGAATGAGCCAATAAATTTTTTTCTAAATTTTTCGAAGTTGTGTATTTAAAATAAATAACTTTTAATTGAGTCAAAAATTATTTTTTTATACAAAATTATTTATTTGATAATAGTCAAGTAACCGATTTTTTAAATTAAATTTTTTTTCAATATTGTAAAATTTTAATACTTAAAAAAAAAATTTCATTGATTTAACAGATTTAAAGTAAATTCTTATTTTCATACTAACATTACAAAAACATGTTGAAAACAATTTTACATTAAAAAAATACTCTAGAAGTTGATTCACTTAACTGAAAAAATAATTGCTACTTTTTCACATTCTATTTTTGTTAAATAGAAAGAATTTTTTAAAAGAACTAGTTTAATAATAATTATTATTTAATATTTTTACTATAATTTAAACATTGATTTAGGTAAGTATAAAAAATAAAATTAATTTATATATTTTTAGAGTAATGTTATCATTGCCCAAACTAAAATGTATTAATTCTCTGTACGAAAAAATTTTCACGCCATATGGGGATAATTTATAATAAATGTGAGAACGTGTTCAAAATTATCGTTTCACGCGTTTCGATCAGTAATCGGAAATTCCGGCGTCCTTCTAAGGATCTTCTCACGAGGATCGTCTTCAGGCGAGAAACTTGAACGCTCCATCTTCCTCTTCTCCCACTATACATATATATATATATATATATATATATATTTATATGTTGAAGAGAACGAAAGAAACACGTGCGGTATATCCTGGGTAGGAACTTTAGCCGCTCTAGAGTCCCATCGGGATCCTCGTTAGCCCGTCATTCTCCATTCGCGATTCCTTAGCGAAAATTCATTTAACGTCAAGTTTGATATTGCAGTCGTAAACCTTTAGGATCCCCAAGGGAATATCCTTGAAACATCCGGAATATGACATAAGAAATTAATATGCACTAACGACTTACTATATAAACTGATTACTTTTTTCTTGTGTCATAAATTTAAGTTTAGATTTTCTCATAAATATCCAATTATTGTTAAATCTTCCAATTTTCCACAAAATTACTTCTTTTTATCTAAAGTTTCAAAAAAAATTTCCTCTTACTAAATTTTGTCTTCTTTTTAGTAAATATTATTAATTTAATTAAATACTAATTAATTATAATTGAATACTATTAGAGAAATGTGACAAAAATAAAATATTATTAATAAAGATTCAATGTTTGAGAATTTTTTTAAAAATAATGTTAATAAATAAACTTACAATTAGTAAGTTTGAAGATATACTTTTTTCGACTACATTTTCTAGGAATTGTGTTATATAAGGAAAAAGGGAGCGTTGATTCGGAAGTGGGAAAAAGACTCTTGTAAAATTTGGATAACATGTGCTCCCTTTCTCAGTAGCCTCATCTGTCATAACAACGCCCTTTTAAGAAAAAGGGCTTCATTTCCTTTTGGAATTCAAAGAGAAATATTTTAATTCTTGGTAATATACTAAAATAGTTTTGAAGAAGGTCATTAAGGTCAGCATAAACGAACCTTTTGATTAGATTATAAAACTCTATAACTGCCTTATCTGTAAAAAAATATTTTTTTAGCTTTAGGTATACTTTCATTTATATTCAAATACATGAAATTTAAATGCAAGTTTGAAAATACTGCAGTAAAATTATTTATAAAAGTTCACAATTATTTACACTAAAATAGGAAGTTTTAACTGCCAACGTGATTGTATAAAAATCCCACCCTTTCAGAGTTAAACGTGAAGTTAATGCTAAGATGATTTTCATTTTTGGAGTTAAGTTTTAACTGGAAAATTTTACCCATAACTCATCCGACTGCCATAAAATTCTTTAGTTAGTGATTTAAAAAGTTAAAAACTTACTTTTTAAAAAACAGTGCCTGAATTTTCAAAGAATTTCCAGTACATAGGTCGCTGAAATAGATGAAATTAGAAAATTCTATAAGTGAAAAATATGTGATGGAGTTATATTTGACGAAAATTAAAATTTAAAAGCGGGTTTTAATGGACCGTTGATTTTAATGAACTTGACAGGCTTGAAAGTGTATAGTACATCACCTGTGGAGGATAAAGGTTCATTGTTGAAGCTTTCTCGAGGCTTGGCACGACAATAGCGTATGTTAATTTTCCAGGCTTCCAGCTCCAAGCTAAACGTAGAATATATGTACCATCTTTTCTGTTCATGATGCACATATGTGTGTAAGTGCCCGTACCTCAAGAATGTTGGATTTCAGTCTCCCAACCAATAACGTCTCAATGGTGGTCTAAAGCTTTACGAGAAACTCACCTAACTTTAATTAACGCCTACATATTGCCCTTAACTAATATATGACCAACTCAAACACACACACACTTGAAATTGAAGATCCTTAAATTGCGTATACACAATATGAAATAATATAAAGAAAAAATATCCACATGCCGTTAGAAATTTTTTACAACCTAAATTTGCATGAAATTTCTTTCGTAATCGATTACATATTTCAAAAAATGTGTTTCTGATAATAATGTTTCGAAATAACATGTTTGCTGCATCTGAACACAGAAAAAACCTGGACCAAAAATGAGTCAGGTTGGTGGTGCCACTGTCTATGTCTTTGATGTTAGTTTTTCAAAATTCAAAATGGTGAATCCAAATATGAGTCGCCGGAAAGTAAAACCACACATAAAATTCTGACGGCCATGTTAATTCAATGGGAGTCAGAATTTTATGTGTGGTTTTACTTTCTGGCGACTCATATGTCAAATAGGAAAATTAAAAATCAATAAAATTTACTAATATCAGATTCATACTCAGCGACCTTGAAAACTCCGCGAGTAACATCAAGCAAATCCTTCGAATTTAAAAAAAATATGTCCGCCATATTGGATCCGCCATTTTTCATTTTTGAAAACGGACTTCAGATTCATTAATCAGCGACCTCGAAAACCTAAGTGCATACAGTTCTAAAAATTTTTGTGGTATAAAAGTTTCTTAACATTTTAGACCTATACATTTAAGATTTTGCTCCTCACAGCGAAGGGGTTAACATTTGTTGGATAATTCTTTCACAAATATAAAATTTTATTGTTTATTGCGAAAAAAATCATATTATCAATATTAAAGAGGTATTTTTAAAATAATCCCGAATTTTTAAACTGTAATTTAATGTTGTATTATAAGTTAAAAACTGAATATCAATTTTAAACTAAAAATTTTCTGTTTCAAAAAGGTACTATATAAAAAATGGAATATTTTGATTTATTAGATAAGTTGTTTTTGTAAATGGAAAAAAATATTTTTCCACTGCTATTTTTTTGCTATTTTTTATTAACAAACTATAAGAAGTGCCTGCTTAACTTTTTAAGTAAAAATTTTAAAAATGATAATGATAATTTTTTAGCAACGATTGTCAAGTATAGAAAAACAGTAACAATTGAAACTGCTTAAATAAATACTTTGTTGTATGTTTTAAATTTCTTACAAAATAAAATATATAGAATGTATGAGTAATAGTTTTACAGAAATTTTAATTTAAAAATAAGTCCCTATCTGTTAGCATAATTCTTTTGAAGGGGACGACTTATGTATTCCTACAATCATGTTAACCCTATCTTTGTATGCATTAAGTTAATCAACACGCGTGTCTTTAAAGTGAAGAGCAGTCAGT